GGAAGGGAACTTTGAAGTTATCTAGTCTAACCCCCTCATTTTATGGATGAGAAAACTAAGGCCCAAGAGATGATATGACCTGCCCAAGGCCACACAGATGAACCTCATTTAATATTCATCTAGCAGATGAAAAGGTTCATTTTTATAATGACAGCACCATTTATAATGACTGATTCATTCATTTATGGAATGCAAATACAGATCCTTTGACTCTAAAGCCAATGTTCTTTTCACAGTACTACTAGGACATGCACAAAGAGGAAAGACAAAAGCTGTATCCCGAGTTTAAAAATCTTCAACAAGGAGCTGCGAGCAGATAGTTAGAAAAGCTTTGTTTGGAACTATAACTCTAAAGCAACAAAAATACCCTTTTGTTGTTGAGTCCATGGCAACACCCCCTGTCCATCCCACCAAATGCTGTTTATGCAGCCCTTAACTGACAAGCACTGAATTTACTAAGAGACCTCTTCTTTACAAATGGTCATGCTACAGTCTCTGTGGCCACAGCCCTTGTAAAGAACTTGGAACATTTAGAGAATGTATATGGGCTTGGAAGTAGAGGAAGAGAAGATTAGAAAAAGCACTCCTTCTGTAAGCGGACCTGATGCTGAAAGCAGTTTTTCAAGCAGAGACTTTCAACTTATTTTTATGTTGGTCTCTTCTTACTTTGTTAGGCTGTTTGTAATTATATTTATTCATTTAGGCCAACAAAATCACCGTAAAACAAAACAAAACAAAACCCCCAAACTAAAGTATTCTGGAAGGAATAAGGGACTCTTAGTCATTATATATGAATTAGCTTAACTGTTATTATTTTCCTGGGGAAGTTGGGGTAGCTCAGTGAATAGAGTACTGGGCCTGAAGTCAGGAAGACTCATCTTTAACAGTTCAAATCTGGCCTCTGATATTTACTAGTTTTGTGACTTGGGGCAAGTCATTTAACCCTGTTTGCCTCAGTTTCCTCATCTGTAAAAGGAGCCTTAGAAAGGAAATGGCAAGTCACTCTAGTATCTTTGCCAGGAAAACTCCAAATGGGGTCATGACAAGTCAGACAAGACCACAACTAAACAGCAACATTGTTTCCTTCTTTATCTCTGAGGCCAGTGGGAAGAGGACTTAGGGGTCCTATAATCTGACCCCTCATTTTATAGAGAAGGAAACCATAGTCAAGGGAGGTTAAATGACTTGACAAGAATCACACAGGTGATAAGTGTGAGTCTTTGCACCCAGGTATCAGAGTGCCTCCTCTCCTGCCCTCCCTACCACCCCAGGTCCAGCATGTTCCCCACTATACCAGAATGCCTCTTCTTTGGGAAGATGCCAAACACTAGGGCCTTCCATTTTGAACTTCTGCCTTAGGCCAGCCCTGGAGCCAGGAAACAGGGAAGGAAGGAAGCTCTCTTTTTCCTCCAACCCCACATGCTCTAGGACTCAGGCTTTTTAGTATCATCAGAACTAGAAAGCAGCTGCAATGTCAATTAAATAAGCTTTTATGGGTTGCCTAGGAAACTAACAATCAATTACAACCAGTTTATAAACTTGAACACACCCTTTCATTTAGTAGGGGAGTAACTTCGTACTAATTTATTTCTAAAAGAGAAAAATGAAATAAAATAAATATATTTTGACCTGTTTTTTTTTTTTTTGGCGCTCCCTTCTTCCTCCTCCTTTCCCCTTCAAGTAACTGAAGGCATGGTTGTTGTTCATCCTTCATTTTTTGAAGAGGGCCAATGACATCACAGGGTGATGTCTTGACTTTCTTGTGAATTGGATTTAAGTGAGGCAGAGCTTCAAAAAGTCATAGGCTTACTCTTTTCCTTAGTCACTGAAGTGCAGTGGCAGGACAAAAGTCATGACGACTGGTGATGGCCTGAGATGCAGTGGATGACATTGGCATCTTCAATGTCTGATCACCACAGTGACTTCTTCAGCTGCCTTCATGGCCATTGGAACAAATTGTTTTCATCTACCCATTCAGCCAGGGAAAGTCTTCATATGCTTGGGGTAGACATCTCCCTAACTCGATGACAGGTTTGAAGACTGTTACCCTCAATATGGTTCAGCCTATCTGCCAAGACAGTTTTACAGGGTTGTGGCAAATGCTACAGCTCCTTGGAGACATAGGTGAGAGTTGGGTGACAGGTTAACAACAAAGGTGAATGAGCAGCCCTGAAAATGGCTCATCAAGGCCTCAAACCAGAGGTGATAGTCCTCCTGGAACACCCCATATAGCCCAAAAGCATTGTAGGCTGTATGTAAAGCCAGGGCTGGTGATCAGTGAATTAGAAGTACAATATATTAGAAAGACATAGGAAAGCAATGTGATGCTTTGGAAGGACTGTTAAGTTTGGAGTCAGAAGAGCTAGGTTCAAATTCTAACTCTGTCATTTACTACCTGTATGACTTTAGGCAAGATACTTTATTTACCTGGGCCTCAGTTTCCTCATCTGTACAATGAAGAAGTTGGAGTGTATTAGGGGTTCTCAATTTCTTTTGTGTCATGGACCCCTTTGGCAGTCTGGTGAAGCCTGTGGATCTCTGCTCAGAATGATTTTAAAGACAAACAATAAACTTCCTGGGATTATAAGTAAAAACAATTATACTGAAGTAATTGTGTGTGTGTGTGTGTGTGTGTGTGTGTGTGTTTAAATCAAATTCCCAATTTAAGAACCCTTGGACCAAATGATTTCTACTATCCATTCAAGTTCTAAATTATGATTCTATGATATGAGTGACAGGAAAGAATCTACCTTGACTTTTACAAAGTTTAACCCAGTTCACAAAGTAGGGTGGGAAGAGAACATAGGATTTGTTAATACTTTGGTTGTACTGGAAAGAGCCCTGGATTTGGAGTATGGAGAAACCTAGTGTCAAATCTCAGCTCTGACACTTAATATCTGTGTGACTCTGTAAATCATTTTTCTCCATGTAATCCCCCTTACTCAAAAATCTTCAATGCTTCACAGCTGCCTCTAGGGATAAACTCCTCCAGCTGGCCTTAAATGAAAGCTTCCACAATCTGACTCCCACCTACTTTTCCCCTGTTATTTCATTTCCATTTTTTGTTCTAATCAAACTGGCCTGCTGGCTTCTCTCTAGAAGGCAGTCCATGCCCAACTTTGTAGAATTCCTGGCTTCCTTCAATTCTCTCTTAGGCTGTCACATGTTCCCAGGAGCCCCTTCCTGATTCCCTCAGTCAGAACCCTAACCCACCTGAAATTACTTAGCATTTACTTGTGTACATGTTATGTTCTTCTAGTACGGCCTAATCTGGGGAAAGGGGCTGTTCTATTTTTATGCCCCAGGGTCTTCCTTGAACACCATAGGCACTTAACAATTGCTTGTTGAATTAAATATCCAACGTAAAAAGAGTCAGGAAAGAGGTTTTGAGTTTTATTTTTCTGTTTGTTTTGTTTTTGCACTGTCTTTTAAGCTCGCAGGCTTCTTTGATAAACTTAGAGCAATTACGTAGATCTTGGTATGCAAATTAAGTGAGAGAGGTCTCCAAATATGAGGACAAGATGGGGGACCTCTTCCTCACTCTGCTTCAGGCCAGTCACCAAATTCTAACCTCTCCCTTTTTACCTGCCTTGAGAGATCGGACCCAAATCTTGGCTGGCTAGTGTGCTAGCCAAAAAAAAGGATTTATTTTTAGCACTAGGGTAGAAGTGGCCGCAAGAGGGGGTAAGTTTTGGACGTAGTCTGTAGTTCGGTGTGGTTTGCATGCACATAGAAATCTCGGTTCGAGTAGGAGCTTCAGTCTCCCCCAAACATAATTATAGACATCAGGAAAGAGGGACCTCCCGCCCCCCTCCTCCTCAAGATGAAGCAGCCCAGCCTAACTAACTGGCCAACTTTACCTAGGCCCATCCTTTCCGCTCTGCACCTTGTGCAGAGTTAGCCTTTACTCTCCCCTTTCCCCCACGATCTCTTGGAGGTGTGGAGAGGGGCAGGAGACTAAGCCAGCCCTTTGCTAATAGCTGAATAGTCTTAGAAGGGGCCACGAGGCAGGGCGGATCCCAGGGATCTTGGTCCCCCTCCCCACCACACACACACACACACACACACACACACACACACACACACTTTTAGAGTCCCCTAATCAAATAGTCCGCAGGCATTTATTAATCCCTTACTACGTGTGAGGCACAGTGCTAAGCGCTGGGGATGCAAAGAAAGGAAAAAAAAAATAACAGTCCCTGCTCTCGAGGAGCTCACAAGCTAATAAAAGACAGCCGGCAAACAAACTAGTATGTACAAACAAGATACAGGGTAATAAGAGATGTCACAGGAGGGCACTCATTATAAAGGACCAGGCACAACTCTCCACGCGCTCCCTACACTCAGCTCAGGCCGTCTATCAGCCGGCTGTCCTTGGCCAGCGGCGCTCCAGGAACACGCGTGGCACACAATGGAAGCAGGCGCTGCTTCAGCTCCAGAAGAGGCGGCGAGGGAGCTGGCGTGAGCTCTCCAAAGGTGGTTGAGAAGGGGGCCAGAATACGCGGGTGGAGGAGCTAAGGAGAAGCACCCCCTCCCTCTTCTTCCCCCCCCCCCCGCAGGCGAGAGGAGGGCGGAGCTCGCCGTAAGGAGGAGCCTGAGCCAAGGTCTCCGGTTCCCGGGTGGGCGCAGGTCCCCGAGCCGGAGGGGCTGGGCTGGGCTGAGGGACGGGGCGGGGCGCGGGGCGTGGCAGCAGGGTCCAGAGGCGGGCAGACCAGCAGTGCAAGGAAGTTCCGCTCTTCTCAGATAACAACAAGGGGGCTAGCTAGGCTTGGCTCTGTGAATATCGGGGCGTGCAAGCTATCCATCCGTCCGCCCATCCATCCATCCATCCATCCATCCATCCATCCATCCATCCATCCATCCATCCATCCATCCATCCATCCATCCATCCATCCATCCGTCCATCCAGCCAAGGCGGCTAGCGCCGCCCGTGGGCCCTGAAGCGCGCCCCGCCTCCCGTGCCTCCTTCCCTCACGACGCGCTGCGCTCCCCGCCGTGCCAGGAACAGGACGCCGATCGACCCGGCGCCTAGGCTGGCAGGCAGGCTAGCCTTCGTTCCTTCGCGAGCTCCCGGGGCTCGGGCTCCGCTTCAGTGTCTCCGCCTCTCTCCCGCCCCCTTTTCGGATGCTCGGGGCACCCGGATGGATTGAGTGAGCCTAGCTTTCGCCACCTCCTCCTACCGGCTTAACTTGCTCAAACTTCCTCGGCCGGGGCAGAGCGCCGCCGCCGCCGCCCCCGCGGGTGAGTAGTGGGGAGCCCCCCGCCGATCGCCCGCGAGGGGCTCTGTGCGCGCCGCTGCCGGGCTCCCCCTCCAGTCTGGGCTCTCCTCCCCCCATTGTCTCCGGCCACCCGAGCTCCTCTCGGCCGCTCGAGCCTCCTCCCCTTTCGCTTTCAGTCCTGGGCCTCCAACTTGTTCTCACGCTTCGGGGCACACGACTGGCACCCCGGCGGGCACCCTCCTTGTGCCCTGGGCTCCTCTCTGGAGAGAGGTGCCCTGGCTGCTGGGACCCCGCCTCCTACCCGCCAGCTCCCCCGAGACTTCAGCTCCTTTCCCTTTCGTGCCCCACTCAAGAACGTGTTTAGAGATCTCATTTGAAGGGTGTCACCCTGGAGTTGGGAAGTGGGGGAGGAGAAAGAGATCGATCAGGCCCTTGTGAAGGGAAAGTGAAGACCAGGTCTTAACTGACTTTATTCTGGCGAGTGACCTGAGTAAAAACCTCGTGAATGACCCCTCGGGTCAGTGGGGTGGGGAAGAAGGCCGGTAGTTTTTTTTTTTTAAGTTACTGGTTTGAAAAATGTATTTAAGGAAGCATCAAGCCCCTCATTCCCCTGAGGTTGCTACTTTATGCCCTGGTCAGTCAGTTAGCAAGCATTTATTAAACGTTTACTGTGTGCCATACACTGTTGAAGTCCTAAGTTGCAGCTGCTAGGGGTTATGTTAGAAGTCTCCCATATGGAAGCGGACTGACAGAACAGGTTGGTTTTATCACAGGGAGAAACTTTAGAGTACGTTAGCAATAGAGCAGGTAAAAGTTTCTTACTTAAGTCATACCATTGGTGGTCGGTGGGTCGTTGAAAGCAGCAAGATCTTTAATTTTTTAAAAAGTAAATTGAGTGAGACTGGCTGAGAAATGGGTTTCTTTGGGTAAAGACAACCGGTCCATTGGCCCTGAGGAACTTTGAATCTGAAATCCTCACCCCTTATCTTTCTTTGCAAATGGCCCCTGTTGAGGTCTGACAATGGCCGAGTTGATCCTCATTCCGGCAGCCCTGTGAGGGTGGTTCTCCCTTATCCCAACCAATTCTTAAAGTTCGAAAACGAGTTGAAAGAGGTTTAGTGGTTTGGGTTGGTTAGTATTTGACCACTGACTGATGAATGATTGCTGCTGCCAGTGGTTGCATGACTGGTTGGTTTTTTCCCATATCTTTCCCCCGACAGCTTTTTCAGAGATTTTGGAGGCTTGTACCTCCCCAAGGTTGAGATCCCTTGGCTTGACATTTTTCAAACCGGTAAATGTGGACTCTGATGTAACCAGAGTCGTTGAATCAATGGGACTCCAGCCTGAAAATCCCATTGTCTCTCTTGGGATATAATGGTGTGCTGTGAGCGGCCATGTTTGAAGTAGACACTAACATAACCAAATAGTCTTTGTAACTAACTTCCTGCACTGGGTATTGGGTGGAGGTGGAGGTATTGTTTCCAATTGTAGGTCTTCAGAGACTAAAGTAGCAATAATTATATTAACTGTCATTTTTATGGTAAACATATTCTATTCATTATTTCTTTGATCCTCACAATAACTCTGAGGTAGATTCATAACTATCTCTATTTTACAGGTAAAGAAACTGAGGCTCGGGAAAGTAAGTGACTTGCTCATGGTCACAGTACTAGTAAGTGTGGAAGGTTAGATTCAAACTCAGGTTTCTTATAACTTCCAAGTCTATATTGCCTCAAGTTTTACTGTCTGTTAGGTTGTGCTTTTGAGGTTTTGGCCTTTCTTTAATGAATGGTGTATGTAAGTGTAAATACAGTTGATAGATTTGTGCTTATTAGAAGTTCACCTAGTAGTTGAGATTTTTTTACTTTCCATCTTGGTTGCCTTTCCCTAGGGCACTTGTTCAGGTTGCCAGGTATTATGAAGCCAGCCCAGAGAGCTGGGGTCTGAAGCCAACCAAATTTATACATACATTGTGTCATCTTTAGGTCTCCATGAGGGAGCTAGAATCACTTGTAGAGAAAAGTGTTTGGAAAGAAATGGAGTGTGCTTAGAGTGAACTGGGCATTGGAGACAATTGGGATCTAGTGCTTATGAAAGCCCAAGTTTGTTTTTAGGAGGAGAGTGGCAATCTTGGCTAAGAGCATTTACCAAAACCTCTAAAACAGATAAATGTATCACTGTTTCCTTGTTTTTAAAGAGAGCCATTTGTATGTGTATTTATAGCATTGGATTTTGGCAATGGGAAAACTGCGGTGTGTGAAGATAATTGAATGTTAAGCCATCTGGGCTGTGTTTGGGGCACCAAATTGTACCTTCAATGTATTATGCAGCTGAATACTTCTCTCCCTTGTGGCCCCCCCACCATATCTTGTTTGCTGCACAGGCACCAGAAGAACTTGTGAAATCCTAAAAAGCAGTTTGACCCCCACTGCCTTCTCCCAGTAACCTCTATGTAAGAGGAAGTAAGAGTAATCACTGTACTCTCCTGTCTCCCAACCCCCCTCCCCTTTTGTGTTATAGGGAATGCAAACCCAGCAATTTAGCTGGAGGAAAAGGAGATGCAGATGTGTCTATGTGTTTTATAAGTTTTTTTTCCTTGATGTTTGAGTCCAGAAGGGGGGCATAGTTTTTTAAGATTACACAATGGAATATGTTAGAGAGAGGGCTTTCAGTTAACATTCCCAGGCTTCCATCATGGCAACAATAAATTGAAGGTCCCAAGTTCTCCTTTCTAAAGGGGAATCCAAAACTGAAGATTCAGAGTGCTCAGTTTCAAGAAGTGTCTGGCATCAGGGTGATTGGGCCTCTTTGAGATCTGCCCTTTAGGGGTTGAGTGGGTCATATGAGATAAGCTTCTATAATTTAGATTCAGCTGGGTTTCTCAGAAACATCCTGAAAGATCTCACCACTATTGGTTTCTATAAATGGAGGAAATGACCATTTTCTGAGGTCTCTTTGAGTTCTAAAGTTTTATGATTCTGAGATCCTGAGCTTCTGGGTTTTCAGAAAGATGCAGAATTTAATTTTTTTTTAACTATTTTTGTTACTGAATTTGTTATTGATTTAAATGGATATGAAAGCATTTTTTAAAGTGCTGTTTAGATAAGTCAGAGGACAAAGAGAAATCCATTAGAATGCTTTCTTTGCCTTCTAGTTCTTAAGGCACACCCAGTCCAGAACAGGGAGTCTGAACGTGCTTGGGATGGGGTGACTAGAAATGGATCAATTACTTTTTCCTACTGTTCTCCCCTCAGTATCAGCCAGGCTCAATTCCAATTGGATATCACTGTTACTTGGAGGATTTTTTCCATAAATTGTACTGAGATGTGTTCAGGTTATTGAAGCAGTTGTAGTGTAGTGGGTGCCTTTTGAGGTGCCCTTTGTTGGTGTGACCAGGGTTCAAATCCTGCTTTTGACACACTGTTATGTGACCCTGGACAAGTCACTTAACCTTTATGTACTCTGGGCCAGAGATGGCAAACATGCTTCAAAATTGTGCTAGAACCAGATTGAAATGTAATTGGGAAATATTTGACAAAATAAGTAAAAATATAACAAAATAAAGATTATGTTAATATGCGGTTTTCTAAGTCAAGATGCTTTCAAAGGGATTCTTATGCTCCCCTTCCGCTGGACAGATACTGAGAGGACTTTGAGACTCTTAAATCAGCTGGTTTTTTTACATGGGTTTCCTTTATCCTAAAAGAGGGACCTTGGTTTCCTCGCCCACCTCTTCCTCTCTTCAAACTACTTGAAGGCGGGTTCCTTGTCTGTATCTTCTGTTTCCTCACCACCCACTCTTTCCTCACCCCTTAGAAGTTTGGCTTCCACCTCCATCACTCTGCTGACACTTTTCTCAAAGTTCACCAGAGACCTCCTAATTAGATTTTGTTATGTGGAAGTCAGTGTGCTAGGCTGATGATAGAAAAATGAAAAAGGGCAGAGTTCATATCCTTAAGGAACCTGCAGTCAGTTGGGAGAGGGGAAGGAGATAAGACACAAATAAATTATGATAAAAGGTTGATGTTTTACAGTGGGGAAAAAAAAGAGTACTGGATTTAGAGCCAGAATATCTATATTTGAATCTTGTCTCTACCACTTAGTACCCATGTGACCCTCCCCATTAGTCACTCAGCCGTTTTTCGGCCTCAGTTTCTTTATCTGTAAAATGAGAGAGTTGAACATGATCTATGTTCTCTATGACTTTGTAGCTCTCTTAAGCAAAATTTGAGGTGGGAGTGACTTTTAGTTGGGGGTTGGCAAAGGAGGGATAAGGAAAGGTTTCCTGAAAGGGGAGGGAGTGTGTTCCAGGCAGGAAAAAGCAGGATGAGATTAAGGAGCTGTTAGGGGCCCAGTTTGATTAAAACATAGAGGGCCTGAATGGGAATATGGGGGTGAGAAACTAGGATCACACATCTGGAGCTCCAAGGGACCTAGGTGATCATCTGGTCCAAAGGTTTTTAACCTTTTAAATGCTATGATGGTCTGCTTCTCAGGATAATGTTTTTAAAAGAATAAAATAAAATATATAGGACTACAAAGGAAACCTTTCTAATGGAATGAAGTTATAAAACTAATTTAAAAGAAAACCAACCAAACTCATGGACTCCAGGTTAGTCCAACCCCCCCCCCCCCCCCCATTTTATCGATGAGGAAACTGAGTGCTGGAAAGTTAAATTGACTTATCTAAAGTACCCTGGTGGTAAGCGTGGGAGGTAGGATTTGAACCTAGAGCCATTATGGTATCATGATATCTAGATTGTGGAAAGGCCTTAAATGCCAAAGTTTGGAGTTCTATTTTATCCAGTAGGCAGTAGGAAACTTATAGGTTTTTGAGTAGGGGGTGTATGTGACAGGGTCAGCCTTCTTTCTGTTAATGGAAAGACTATTTTGGCAGAAAGAAGGCTGGATTGGCTAAGGGACTGTAAGCAGGAAGGCTAGCAAGGAAGATGATTAAGAAAGCTCTTAGATTGAGGTTTACCTTTTTTCATAACTTGGACCCAAGAATGTCTTCCTGAAGCC